AGAGCCTACATGATGTAGCACATATCAGATTCTCCCTCCTGGCTGGGACTGTAGCTCAGGGGTAAAGAATGTGCAAGGCCCTGGGTTCAATCCTCAGCACTGGGAGGGCAGGGGGAGAAAAAGAATCCTTTCTTTTTTATGTTTTAATTTATTTTATTTTTGTGCATGTGTGTACTGCCTGCCTGTATGTAAGTGCACCCATGTCCTGAAATGCCTGTGGAGGTCAGAAGAGGGCACTGGAACTGGCGTTTTAGATGGTAGTTAGCTGCCACATAGGTGCTGGGAATTGAACCTGGGTCCCCTGCAAGAGCAACCTGTTTTCTTAACCACTGAGCCATCTCTCCAGCCTCCTTTTAAGATTTTTAAAAAATATTTGTATTGCCAGGTGTGGTGGCACACACCTTTAATCTCAGCACTCGGGAGGCAGAGGCAGTCAGATTTCTGTCAGTTCAAGGCTGGCCTGGTCTATATAGTGAGTTCCAGGAAGGCTGGGGCTACAGGGAGACCCTGTCTTGAAAAAGACACACACACACACAAAAAAAGTATTATTTTTACTTTATGTGTATGAGCATTATGCTTGCATGTGTGTAAGTGCACCTGTGTCATGCAATGCCCATGGAGTCAGAAGAGGGCATCAGATCCCCTGGAAATGGAGTTACAGATGTTGTTAGTAGCCATGTGGATGCTGGAAACTGAACCTGGGTCATCTATAAGAGCAGCCAGTGTTCTTAACTGCTGAGCCATCTCTCTAGACCAAATAATCTAATGCTGCTATGAACATGGTTGTACACATAACGTAAGTCTCTGCTTTCCATTTTTTTGTGTATATACTTAGAAGTGGAATTGCAAGATTATATAGTAATTCTATTTTCAGTTTTAAGGAAGTGCCACACTATTTTCCACAGCAGCTGTTCCATAAAGAGGTTTTAATAATAATAGCAAATATTTTCACAATACCATCAAGTGAAAAGGAAGTTATAACTTATACATTCAGTAAAACTTCAGCTATGCAAAAAAAAAAAAAAAAAAAAAAAGTGTGTGGGGGAGAGAGATGAAGTAACCACATAAAACTGTCAACCAATACAGTGGTTTCCACTGGACTGTGCTAAGAATAGGTTTTTGTTCCCTTCTTTTCCAAATCTGTGCTTGAATAATTTTTCCTTAATATACCTATAATGCATTGACAACCAAAGGAAAAACTGAAAAAAAGTTTAGCAGAAAACATATTTCTTTTTGGTCACCATGTCATCCATCCCACTGAGTCTAATAGTATGCTTAGTTCACCTTTTTTTTTTTTTCTTTTTGATTTTTGTTGTTTGGCTTTTGAGAAAGTCTCACTATGTAGCCCAGGCTGGCCTGAAACTTGTAATAATCCTACTACCCCAGTTTCCCAGGTCCTAGGATTACAGGTGTGTTCCACCATGCCTTGTTTAAGCTCATTAAGTTTTCAAAATGGAACACCCAATACATACCTACTCTATAACTAAAGTGACACTAGATAAGCAATCCACTTCTGAAAACTTTTAAGCCCAATAAAGTAGTAGTTCCAAATCTTAAAAAAACTTTTAAAAATATTTTTACTTATTATTTTAATTTTATGTGTATGAGTGTATTGCTTGCATGTGTGTAAGTACACCCATGTCGTGCAATGCCTGGGTAGGTAAGAAGAGGGTGTCGAATCCTCTGGAACTGGAATTACAGATGGTTGTTAGCCACCATGTGGGAGCTGAAAACAGAACCCTGGTCTTCTGCAAGAGCAGAAGAGAGTGGGTCTTAACCACTGAGCCATCTCTCCAGCCCTATAATTCCAAATCTTAACCAAAGTAAATAACCCTTTTTTCCTTAGTCCTACTTGACAGCTTTTCCAAGTTCTTTCTGTTTGGGCAGAGCCTATGGCTCTGCTAAGATAACAGAGCTGGAGTCTGGAGAGAGCAAGGGCAGCAGGCAGCCACCTTTGGGGACTGGTGCACATCCTCTTTTGTGGCACCCCAGCCAGTCTTTCCATGCCTGAAGCTCACCTCTGTTCTCACTCTGGTCAGCTGAGTTTTCCATCTGGAGTTGGTAAGCTGCCTTAGCACTAGGAGAAAGACAGTGAAGTGGATTGAGGAGGGAAGGTTGAGGAAAAGGGGAAGGAAGAAACTTGAAGGATTAATGAACTGATTTCCATAAAGGCTTTGACATCTTGGAATGAAAAGCGGTCTGTAAGAACAGAAGCCCAGTCCTTTATTCAAGCCATGTTGCCAGCTGGCCATTCATCACCTAAAATTCCCCCAACATCCCCATGGCTATTGCTCAACTACCTCATATAAATCCTTATTAATCTTGCAAAGTCAAAACATGAATATATGACAAAAGTCTTTATGTGCCCTCAGTTTCAGAGTGTAAATTTTAAAAATGAATTGGTTATTCCAAGGCCCCAATAAATTACTTAAAAACTTTCTTTTGGAACAAAAGGACAAATAAATGACACATCCCTGAAAATTTTTTGTGCTTATTGGACTGAATGAACTCAAGCTAATGATCAAATAAATTACAAGAGGAAAAAGGTGTTCATACTAAAATTTAAGCCAACAGATACTAAAATTTCTTTTTGCAATAACAGCAACTTTTCACAGGTTACACTGAAAAGATACAGAGACTCCTTAGTGAACTCAATGGCACATTTATTCTTCTTTCATGTGTACATGGCCAGGGGCATAAAGTGGGCCTCTTAAGCAGTTGAATCTGAAATACTTTAGAGTATACTATCTTCATGCTAAAGATAGTGAAGTAAAGAAGTGTTTTCTTTGAGAGACCACCAGGACCCCAAGTGGGTTCATTTGACTTAATTGGTGCAAGCAAATATCCTCCACAGGAAGAAGCCTCAGAGACAAAGCAGGCATAGGGCAGGTGAAGGATTCATCACTACATGGAGTCCTAAAATTTCTGACTCAGGCTTTCAGGTTCTCCTCAATGTTGTGGTTTACAATACAGAAAGGCTGATACAAAGTTCTGGAATGCACTGTGCTTTGGCAGCAGGATTTCCTCCCAAACTCTATTCTAGGCACTGAACACACCCTGATTAATATGTGTAAAAAATGTGTTTGGTAGTAAGAGGAAGCTTGGTGTTAGGAACCATCCACAGGCCACCCATCAAGTGGAAAGGTGACACTTGATAATAGAGAGTTGACTTTTGGAAACAGAAAAATGGCTTTCCTGTACTCTGGGCAAGGGAGGTAGAAACCCAGGAAACTTCAGTGATTCATGTCTCTATTTTCTAGGCTGGAAATTCAGGGAGAAAAATCAGAGAAAGGGTGGGATGATAATGATGAAAGGCTGATTAGACACAGTGACAGGACCATGGGGGAGGTTCCCATGGCCAGGAGGACTTCTCAGCTGAAGGGCAGGGGGCTGGCAGCACTGCTTTGTCAGCCACCTTCAGATACTACACAAACTGAAGTCCATCAAGGGCTGGTCTGTCACTCCCTCTTTTCCATCCCACCAAGAAGGAATGGACTCAGAAGGAAGGTAATGGCTTCCAGTGAGCCCAAACTAAAAGGAAGAAACTCCTTCTTTACAGCAGCTTAAGAACTGAGGCTTAGGATTCTTGGAGCAGTTGTGGCTGAAAGCAGGGTTTTAGCAGAATGATTTCTGGAGCGCCTTGGATTCCTGATTCCCAGAAATAATAGCTAGGAAGACCTCATCTGTTACTTGGTAAACAGTTAGGGTACAATGTGACCTCAAGTCTCTGTTCTCCCAGGAAGTGGGCCTAGGAAAAACATTTAACAGCTCTCACTTTAGTCTAAATAATAAAGAAGAAACAAGAACTGAATTAAAAATGAAAGGCTTGTCATAACTTTATTGGCACTTCAGATAGAATATTCCCCACCCCTCCCATATCCTTGCACACAGCTTGAAGTGCTGACTGAGATAATCATTGGAGCCCCCATCTCACCCTGAGGGCATCCACCACTGGCTCCCCTTCACAAATAACACTGCTCAGGAGCTTTCAGTGTGGCCACTGTCTGTTTCCTCAGCCTCATACTCCACTTCACAGAGAGCTACTTTTCTTTTTTTCTTTTGTTTTTCTTTTAAGTCAGGGTCTCCCTATAGCCCCAGCTGGCCCGGAACTCACTATATAGATCAGGCTAGTCTTGAACTCACAGAGAGCCACCTGCCTCTACCTCCTGAGTGCGCCACCACACCCAGGCCAGAAGCATATTCTTTGTAAAACAAAGACAGGCTGCTATATTAGACACCAAAATATCACTCAAAATTAGAGGCAGCATGGTAGGGCATGTGATGTGGTAAGAGAGCATGCTGGTCTCATCCAATCCACTTCTGCTGAAACTTAACACATAGAGGGGGCCCTTGTAGTGACACTGTCCTACTAGTGTCTAGGGACCCTCAACAAAGATTTTGAACATAGTGCTTCTTTATTCTTTATGTTCTAAGTTTCAGAATAAACATTGGTAAAGATGACATACCAAAAAAAAAAAAAAAAAAAAGTATCCACCCTTTGCCTTACTTACTCAAACTATCCTAATACTCACCTAAAAGGGCAACTTCTACCCTGCTTTCCTGTTCAAATCTCTGTTTCCCTTCAGGGCCTGCTTGGCACCCATGGATTTTTAAGTTACCATGGCCCCTAAGGGTTTGTATAACATGATCTGGTCAACTATCGTCTTTCATTGTTATAATGTCTACATAGCACTGGGAACTTGATATCAATGAAAATCAGCAGACTGGTGGGCAGACAAAAAGCCATATTATACACCTTCCCTCACCAGGTAATTCAGTAGTTTTAACTGCTGAGCCAACTCTCCAGTTCTGTATTTTAGAAAAATTATCAAGAAAATAGTTTCTTTACCACAACACAGAGTTCTAAAAGGATAAATACTCTAATCAGTTTGGAAAACTCATGTGAATGACTTTTAAAGTACACCACAACTAGAAACAGCAATTCTTGAACACAGTGTTAACCCCTGGTAACAACTGACCCATGTGGGGTTTTAACATACCTCCTGGCCAGCCAGAGTTTGGCTTTGGTACAAGCAGTGATGTCATGCAGTTCCTGCTGAAAGTCTGAATTCATTCTGTGTTTGGCATCTCTGTATGCTTGTAACAAGTGAAAAGCCTAAACCAGAAAAAAGGAAAAAGCAATACCCTGTTGTAAAAATGGATTTTTCATAAATGCTCAGGTCCTCCCTTTTAGGTTTCCTCAAAATATTTCTCTCAAAGGAGACAGATACCTGCAGAAAATGGCTCTGGTTTCCACAGGAAAGCATGTTCAAAGTCACTAGTTAGGGAGGATACAGAGGAGTTTAGCACCTGTGGCCTGGTCATACCTGTGTTCTGGGTCCTTCCCACAATTTCCCAGATCAGGGACTACTGTGACCAAATAACTGTTTACTGCAAGAGCTTCTCTGTTAGAAACAGCATCTACACTGACTTTAGCAAAGAACTGCAATTTTCTTTATGTCAGTGCTCTCACATGGAAAAAAAAAAATCAGTCTTATAGGAGAAAGAAATTGTGAGTCTTAACAGTTTACACATATGTCTGGGTTCATTAGAATGGTGTGGGTACACAAGGCTTGCCTCTGCAAACAGTGGGTAGTGGTGTTGGTGACAGATTTTTCAGACCTTCCCTCAGCAGTCAGGGGAGGGAAAGCAATGCAGATGTGGCACACTCTGTAACACTTACATGATATCATATTCCAGAATTAAACAGAGCAGGGCAGATCTCTGGTATCTCTCTGGTGTCTATACTTAGGATGATGCCATGGTTCCAGCCCACAAGCAACACAGGTTATGTGTGAGTAGTGTGTGTGGACTTCCGCTCTGCAATGGCATCCACACTGGCTCCAGGAGGAGCACAAATCTTTGGAGAGCAATGAATGAGAATGAGAGGTAGAGAAGACCTTTTGGCCTGAAAGACTCATGGCAGAGAAGCCTGTAGGTCTTAGCTCCATCATTGACATAAGACATAAGAGGAAGACAAAGGAAAGACAGTACAAATAAACACTTCAAGAACTTTGAAAACTATTTTATTTTTTAAAAAATATTTTATTTATAAGCCGGGCGTGGTGGTACATGCCTTTAATCCCAGCACTCAGGAGGCAGAGGCAGGCGGATCTCTGTGAGTTGTAGACCATCTCTGTGAGTTGTAGACCAGCCTGGTCTACATCTGGAGTTCCAGGACAGCTGTGGCTACAGGGAGACCCTGTCTCAAAAAGACCAAAAAAAAATTTATTTATTTTATGTGTGTAAGTGTATTGCCTGCATGTACACCCATGTCCTGCAATGCCTGTGGAGGTCAGAAAAGGGTGTTGGATCCTTGGAACTGGATGGTTACTAGCCACCATGTAGGTGCTGGGACTTGAACACAGGTTTCTACAAGAGCACCCATCTCTTAACCACTGAACCATCTCTCCAGCAGCCGAAATCTATTTTAATATTACCTAATTTAATATTATCTGTATTTTCTATTGTATCCTTTGCCATTAGTGCTATGATTACAGACACACATGGCACCACATCTGGCTTTATGTGGGCTCTTGGGATGGGCCCACATGCAAGTGCTTTACCCAGCCAGCCATCTTCCCAATCCATGCCTCAGTTATTCCAGTGCTGGGATTACAGGCATGAGTCAATGAGGTCACCATGCCCAGTAGTTTCTTGTTTTTTTTTTTTTTTTTTTGAGACAAGATCTCATGTAGCCCAGGCTGGCCTCAAACTCCTTATGCAACTGAGGCTGGCTTTGAAAAAGATCCAAATCCTCCTGCCTCTGCCTCCTGAGTGCTGGAATTACAGGCCTATATCATCATATCCAGTGTAATCTTTTTTTCTTAAACAGGAGTGACAGTATAGGAGAATGTGCTATCCCAATGTGGACACTGAGAATGCTTTCTCCAATACAGGATCTGTTATTTCAGATCAGATGGGGCTACCTTACCACACCTTGCAGGGACCAAACTACTGGCATGGAGTCTAGTGAAATGGGTTAGCTAGGGCTTTCTGTTCTTATGCAGTGACTGCTAGAAGGAAAAATACCTCCCTCGGCCTCACTCCCCACTGTCCTGAAAGAGCTGGCAAAGTGACTGGGCCTTGCTTTCTTTTCTCCACAGCTGCACAAAACCAACCACCAGGGCTTTCATGGTGTCATAGGGCTGTAATTAATCAGCAGACACTAGCAAAATACATGACTTTGGAATTTACTTGTAAAGGGAGCTGTGAGATTTTCAAATGCTTCTCATTTAGAAGCAATCACTTCAAAAATAACTCCTGATGGATGTTTAAACTCACTCCTATATTTGCTCACCTTGCTTGGCAAAAACAAGGCTGTTTTTGAAACGCTTGGTAGCTCTCATTTATGAACATCAGCCTACAGGTCCATCAATTCTGTCACCTTGGGCACAAATTAGACAATTGTGCTCCTGGTTATTCACCAGGGACAGAGAGTGAGTTGTTTACATGAGACCAATGGAGATGGAGGTACATGTGCAAAAACCTGATAAAAATAAGTAAGTGTAAGAGACGGGGCAATACAAAGGAGGCACATGACCAGAGAAGTGGAGGGAAAGTGGAACAGGGAAGGAAAAGGAGGAGATAGGCAGATGGAGGAGAGAGGAAAGGTTTGTAAGTAGATGCACGAAATATAGTTTTTTTTTTTAGAAAAAACTGATGAAAATATTTGAATGCACAAGCATCCTCACATGACATTTGGAGTACTGACATAAACAAACGAGGTTATCCTTTAATGTGAAGGCCAGGGAGCTCTGGAAGGGTCATTTGTCCCTTAGCTCTAATGTCTGGCCAAGGAGAGGTAACTTTTCTTTCTTCCCCCTTTGCTTAAAGTACTGATCCAAAGTAAGGCTGGACCCAGGGCTGGAATAATTTCCAAATAGCCTGAACCACACAGAGAATTTAGAACTGCCAGGCTGCAGAAGGGGCAGAATTAACTGGACACACATGACAATTCTAAGAAGTGTAGTGCCATCTTAGGCCTCCCAAGTTTGTAACAGGATTCAAACAGTCAGTCTGTAAATATTTATTAAACAACTATTAGTACCAGACAGTGTCCTGGGGGCTGTAGTAGAGACTAAGCAGCCCTTACTTTCCTGTGGCTTATGCTCTGGGAAATGGAGTACCAAGAGACTCACTGATGCTTCCTGGTTGGATTTATGACCTATATGGCTGCATCATCATCCCTGACTTTGCCATGCGTGACCTTCCACTTGTGAATCCAGTGTACAGTAGCAATTCAACAAGCACTTACTGCATGGAACTGACGGGGTGTTTGGTGCCTTTTCCTATATTAACTCCCTCAGGACAAATTAGCATAGGTTTGGTGTGCTGTTGTAAGTACCAACTTCTGTGTTGAGAGAGAAGTCAGGAGCTAAAAACACTGTGCTCCACACTCCTGTGACTCCTGATATGATGAGGAGGAGGCAGTAAGGCTAGATGAGTGGTGAAAATCCAGGCACAGGAGGTGAAGGGAAGGGCAATGCACTTTGGAGCCATGCAGACGTGGCTGTAAACCAATTATTGGGTATGGTTTTTGGGAACTTAGCCTGTTTTCTCATGGTAAATATACAGTAGTCCACTCTTCTTTTTTAAAGATTTTATTTACGTGTATGTTGTGTGTATGTGTGTGTGTGTCTGTGTGTATGTGCACATGTGTGTAGGTACCTGTGGAGGCCAGAAGAGATGTTGGATCCCCTGAAACTGGAATTATAGGCACTTGTGAACTGCATGATATGGGTGCTAGGAACTTTAACTTGGGTCCTCTGGAAAAGAAGCAAGTACCCTTAACCATTGAGCCATCTCTCCGGGCTCCCTTTTTTAATTCATTATTATTGTACGTGTGTGAGTGCAGGCATGTGCCTGCCACAGCACTCATGTAAGGGTCAGAGGACAACTTCTGGGAGTCAATTTTGGGGATCCAATTCATGGCATCAGGCTTGCACGGCAAGCTCTTTTACCAGCTGAGCTATCTTGCCAGCCTCTCTGTGGAAATAATTCCAAGACCACCAGTTGGTGCTTAAAACCTCCAATAATTCTAAACCCTACATATAGTATGTTTTTCCTATACATACATACATGCATGCATACATACCCATGATAAAGTTTAATTTATAAATTGGTCACAAGAGAGAAACAGTTATTAATAATAAAATAGGAAATAATGATGTACTGTAATAAAAGTCACTTAAACCTAGGAGTTATTTCTGGAACTTTCTATTTAGTATCTTCAGACTGCAGTTGACTCTAAGTAACAGAAACTTCAGAAAGAGCCATGGATGTGGAGAGGATTTCTATAATAATTTATCTTGTGACTAGAGATTCAAATACACACACACACACACACGCACGCACACACGCACGCACACACACACACACACACACACACACTACCTGGGCTCTTTTTTCTTCCTTGTCTGATCCCGCCTTTCCAGCCCCATTCTGAGAAAAAAGTCAGAGAAGGCTTTGCAGAAAGATTGATATTCATATCTGGCAGTGAAAAGAAACTTGATGGAATTAAGGGAAGAACATGCAGGCAGGAGACTGAATTAAAAAGAATTAGAGAGTATTAAAATATTGGTATTGCCAACAAAAAGTGAAGTTCACTCTAAATTATAGTTGTTAATAATGGTGGGTCATTACTGGCTCGTTAACTAGAACAGTGTACCACACTAATGAAGATACTAATAACAAAAATTTAAGGGGAGGAGAAGAATGTATGGATACCCTTTGTACTAATGACTCAATGTTTTTATAATTCTAAAATTGTTTTTTAAAAAATAGTCTACCAATTAAGAAAAGTCTGTTGCTGTTAGGGAATCAGGAGTCCATGTGACAAAAGCATAATCAGTGTGTGTGTAGAGTTAGACTGAGGAAGACCACAGAGGCAAATGGAGGGAATGGGTACTGTCTGTGGTCAGCAGAGCCTCTTCAGAGAGAAAACTTCAGTGGAAGCTGTAACTTGGAAAGAGATTCAGGGCCAGGTGGAGGCTGCAGCAGACAAGGCAGGAGATCCAGGACCACAGCAGAAGTCTAGACAAGAGGTATGTGTGCTGAAACCAGGGGCTCAAGACTAATAGTCTTGTGGATTAAGTGACTGTGTGGCCCATGCAA